CAAGGTGCACCAAATGGTTAAATTCCAGAAACTACAGAATGGACAGCCAGCCTCGGACATCCTTGGTTGGAGGAGAAAGGAGGAACACAACCCACAACCATTGCACAATGACAAATGGGTCAAAGATCTCTCGGACAGAGAACTCACAGACACAGAAAAAGAGGTATTAGCCAAGGGACTGAACTTTGCAGTCACACCCAAGCAAATCCCTGTGGTAGACTTCATCACAGCCACAGAGTTGGCCATTAGGAACAACAAGATGGCTGAGACTCTCAGGTCAATAATTCCAATCCAGGGTCAGAACTAGCAAACTCACACATCCAAGGTATTCACAAGAAGAATGGTCAGTAAGGGAAGTCCATAAGTCAATGCACAGAATACAAACAGAATCAGAAGGGTTAGGCAGGAATTGGTGGTCACAAGGCATTCCGGGGTCAGAGCTGGAATCACAGGTACAAGAAAAACACTGGAAAGTCTGAACATGAGTTAGAACAATCTGGCAGCTTCCTGGTGGGAGGAAGCTGCCTATAAAGGGGTGTCAACAGGTGCAAATAATTACCACTGATTAGTGTAAATCAGACCTGGGCATTTTACGGCCCGCGGGCCACAGCCGACCCTTTGGGCGTCCCTGTCCGGCCCACATGAGGTCCATCAAATCAGAACATGAATGAAAAAAGTTCACTGGTGAACTTAAGCTTCCCGACCTACCGGGCAGCTTGTGTTCATTACAAGTGACAGTGTGGGAGTTTCATAGGGTTTGTGACAGTAACATTCAGAAGGGGAGAAGATGAAGGGCGCACAACGTAACCCCGTCTCTTCTTATCATTGCAGTGGAGAGGCCAGATCAGACAGCAAGATGAGCGCCAAGGCCCTGTACGGTAAGTGACTACATGGAAGCGTGTAGAGGTGTCGCACTGGTTTTGCCAGTAGGAGTTTATTTTTGGTTTGTTTTCAAGATTGTGCCTTTATAATTCCTTACACTTGCCTGTGTTTCTGTGGCATGAGTCACTATAGACAGTTTAGAGTTTACAGCATATAATTTTGAACTCTTAATTGTTAAGGGATAGTTTTATTAAAACTTGCATACTGTTTATGTAAGTATGCGGCTCATTCAGTTGTTGTCCAGAAAGCAGTAAAACACCTAAATGACCCACACTGTGCACTGGTTGTAGTTGTAGTTGCAGTCCCACATACGTCATCCTGGAGCCAAAAATACTCACTGGCACATTAATGTATGCTAATCCACGGCTGAAAATAGAAAATAGTGCCCAACAAATGCACTACTTACTCATGTTTGAGTAATATTAGTTAAAAACTACAATACCAGCTTTCGATATTCATCCAGATTTCAATGCACGTCCAGCCAGACTGGATTTCTCTCACTGAACAAGTAAAAAGAACTGAAAATGCATATCTTTAGCATACTGCAAAACACCTGTTCAGTGTTATGTGAAGTTGAAAATAAAATGGAACTGTGATGTAATGTTTGTTTTTGTTTTTACTGTTTATTACTTCTATAGGAGTATTTTACTGTTTGACCTACACCACAATTTCATATATTTATATAACTATTTATAGAATATGCTTATTCTTCTGATTACCAGTAGCAGCTAATCAACACATATAATTTACTGCTTTTTACAATTGGAGATAATGAATACTGAGCAGAATTAAGTTCAAGTTATCGTTGGTTCGGCCCTCCAACACAGTTCAGGTTTCTCATGTGGCCCCTTGTAAAAATTAATTGCCCACCCCTGGTGTATAGCTGAAATGAGACCTTAAACAGGAAGTGGCGTCAGAATAAAAGCATGTTACTGGAAGCAGAAGAGGCAGAATCATGACCATAAATACCTCCTGCTCACAACCAGTCAGAGAGAACTGATGATGCCTCTTGGATGAGAGGTGAAACGTCTTTTACCTAAAACCAAGTCCAGATGATTTTTTTCTGTTTTTTTCAAGCATACTATGACATGGATGACTGAGACTTTGCACAGACATAATGAGTACTGCAGGTGTGTTGTTCAGTAAGATGAGTTAATAACACAGGGGGTGGTGTTGTGGGGCTCACACAGTTGTCTCTGTGTTTGCAAATATATCAGTAACTGCTGCAGAAGTAGTAGAACTAGTAAAAAACAAATAGCTATAATACTTTTCAGTATTGATACAGAACCATAAAGACTCAGGGGGATCTACTGTACATGTCAGACTGTTTGGGATTCTTATCCTTGAGGCAGATGATGCCACTTTCCTAAAATGTCAGGGGGGGCATCAGACCTTGAAGGTTTATTAGAGGTCAGCAACAGGCTGTCTCTCCCAGTCCCACATATGAATGAACATGCACCACTCAAGAGCAAAGCATACCACCCCCCTCCTCTGGACTGTACCATTCTGCTCTGTAAGATTTTATCCTTCTATTTCTATCACGTCTTTTGTTCTTGTTAAACAACAGGAGACAAAGTGTTGCATGCTGTGCCTGCTCACAGCATCAACCAGGCCAAGTTCTCATGGCTGTGCCTGCCTTAGGTTGTCCCGAGGTTCTGCAGGGGGATCTTACCCGTCATAGACAAACCAGTCTGCCATACCTGCCTGTTTGTCTCTTAGCCTCTTTATCTGTGTCATGTCAAACCATGCCCTGTGTTCCTGCACACCGAACACAAACACAAGTCACAGTGTTCCCATACACTGTGCCTGCTCACAGCAGCTTTGAGGTCAAGTACTTGTTACTGTGCCTGCCTTAGGTCGTCCCAAGGTTTTGTCAAAGGTTGCTCCTAAATGATGCAGAAAAATAAAATTCACCCTGGAGGCTTTAGCATACAAACAGGAGGGAGCAGTAGGGTTGGATAAGTTAAAATAGATTTGAAGGTGCAATGGAAACATTTCTGTTATAAGCTGAAGGAGGTTGATGATATGAGGTGCACCTCTCTGTCCACAGCTGCATGCATGTACATGTGACTGCATCTAGCTTTCTAAAATGTTTCAGTTTGAAAAGTACAAATTGTTAGTTGGTCTTAAACATGAAACCGTGATGCGTTAACATGAACATAAACGTTTTTACATTTAAAAGCAGAGAAAGTTGTTTGTAAAGCTTTGTCATGTTAAACTATCAGCTCATTACAACACATTTTCATTATAGTCTATGATTATACTGTGTATGGTGCCATTTTAACATGTACTTCATTTTCCCAGAGTGGTGTGCTTTGGTTACGATTTCTTTGTACAGTGTGCAGATGAGACTTTTTCCTCTGCTCTTCTTTCGCTCTCCGGTTGTTCGTATTCATCAGTGCAGAAAACATCTAGAAGGAAGCAACAACAACAGAAAGGTGTCTGTTAGGATCTGAGCTCTGTCTAGTAGAGGTCTTTCTGTACAGATATCGTATGTTTATATGGAGAGTGATGGCCCTATACGCTCACTATGCACACTGCGTTTGGCCCCTCAAATTGTGTTATACTCATACAATACTCAATACTGTAACTTGCCCTAATGTGGGACATTTGCTGCACTATGTTGGACTGTATTCTGATACGAAGCCAGTCCATCAACCCCACATCCAGTGCCATTTTGAAACCCTCAGGCTGTGTGCTAATCAGACCAAAAGAGAAAATGCAGGTGTCCTTGAGCAAGACACTGAACCCCTAGTTGCTCCCGGTGATGTCACCGGTGTGTGAATGCGTGAGTGCTTGGGAGTGCGAATGGGTGAATGGCCGAATAATGTGAAAGCGCTTTGAGTGTGCTGTAAAAGCATAGAAAGGCGCTATACAAGTATAAGACCATTTACCATGTCGGTCATGCAAAGTTAAATGTCAGACAGGAACCTGCTGTGAATCACTGTTAAACTGTTATGTTAACATTAGTCTGTTTAAATCAATAAACATACAACTTTAGTAGGCATATGTGAAGGCAACATAAAACTGCTGTTGGCAACATACTTGTCAGGAATCGGCGCGTGAAGCTGCCGATAATGTGGAGGTGTGAAGTCAATTATATAGCCAGACGAGGATAAGTGAAAAACGGTCTCTTTAATAAGAGCACGGACAGCAAAACGATACAGAGGACTACGTAAAACACAATACACACACACTCAGGTCAAAAATACAGTCCAGGGTCAGAGCCAGCAAACTTGCACAGCCGAGGAATCCACAAACAAATAGTGATGGTCCATTGACACCCGAGGCTCCGACACGGGCGCGGTAGATCATGAAGTAATTGCGTCGAACCACTGTGCCGAGGTGTGTTTTGGTCACGTGACTAGTGACGTTTGAAGCACTTGAGTGACGTTCGAAGCAGTTGGGTGCCTTGGACGTCATACAAATCAGCTGATTGGTTCAGTTTGTCATGTGAGTCACTGGGATAGACGGTGTTCAAAGACAGGATATCCCTATTTAGTGGCGTTCATTTGAATCTTTCTTTGCAGAGCAGGTTCGTTTGTTGCTGTTGTTGCCATTAATTGTATCTAGGATGTCTTATGTTGTGTTCCCTTTATTTTTTTGAGCAGTATATACATATAGAGGGAGGGAGGGAGAGAGAGAGAGAGAGAGGGAGAGAATAGATTAACTATCTAGCTAGAGATACATATCTAGATAACAGTTATACAAGCACACCCTTTTTACCCACATACCCATGAACCTCTTTACCAGTGAACCCCAAAACATACTTAGCCAAAGGCCATAATATATTCTGTATTTGTACCAGTTCCATGTGAAAATGACATCTGTCTGAATCTGTAGACCACATCTCATGAATGTAGCAACACCATTTAAATGTTTTCATAACACAAAATATAAGTAAAGAGTATATAGGGTTACAGTCAGACATGCCAAATAAGAAACATGGTCTTCAGAATGAGTTCATGTTTATTTCATATTTTACTGTGTCAGCTTGAAACCATACAACCATGTAGTGTAGTCAAACAGGAATGTGCATGGTGAATCAAATCCCAAACAATCCATGAACCAATAAGCAACAAGTCTTGATTGCACTTCATTTTATAGACCACTAGATGTCCTACTCGAGCACGGTGTCATTGAGGCCTCGAGTAATGAACCATTTTTGTGAACACTGTGTGGAAGCTTCAACAAGGCCTCATCGGCCATCACTACAAACGGGAGGTCAGAGAGGGAAGTCCGAGAGGGAAGTCCGATAATCCATACACAGAAAGCAGTCCGAACCAGGAGGGCAAGGCAGAATACAATGGTCAAAAAACAGTAATCCAGGATCAGAAACTAGAGAGTCAGGCAAAGATTAAATACTGGAAAGTCAGAGCTTGAGTCTAGAACAATCTGGCAGCATTCTAGTGAGGAAACACTGCTTTTATGCTGTTGAACATAGGTGTGAGTAATCAGAAGCAGGTGAACCCAATGAACACTGATTAAACTAAGGAGTCACTGAGTAACTGAGATGCAACTAAAAGGAAGCGGTGGCAAAATAAAAGCACGCGACAGGAAGCAGACGGGACAGAATCGTGACAACGCTACATTATGGTTAGTGATTGAATAAATCACAAAAGGCATTAAATTTCAAATATGCCATTGCTTCAGATGTCACACCATTCATTGACCAGTTATCACTTGTTGCTGAACCATAGCTGTGGCACAAGAGGTCCCTACTCCACCTACTAGGAGGTTCAGTGGGTCACTATCGTACCACAGGCTTTCACTGGCATGGTTACAACAATAATGAACTTGAACCATACATACAAAAACTTCTTGATTAGGTCTAGGCACAAAACAGTGTGTATAGGTTTTGGAAAAAACAGTGGCTTAGTGGTTATAACGCTTATTGATTTTTTTAAAAACGTTTTTGTCCTTGAATCAAACACTTATCTCCTATGGGAAGGCCATAATGTTTTGTGATTCATCCAAAACACCATTGTAGGATGAGCCTGGTCCAGATTATGGAAAACAGCCCCAGACCACAAGTACACAGAACTATCTGGTCTGCAGCTCCAAACATAATCCACTAGAGGGTGCATACAGGCTCAGCGTGATATGTAACTCCCTCCCAAACCAGCTCTCTCTCGCGCGCTCTCATTATCTACTGAAAACGTCAGAAAAAGAGGCTTTATAGGTGAATGACCGCAGCTGGGAGAACATGCTGGCTGGACTCCCTTTGTGTTTTTGGAGTCGCAGTGTTGTTCCAATGAGCTGGGCGTCAGCACTAACAGCAGTTGGCCTACTCCGAGCTCTTACTGGCAAATCCCACTGAATCATCAGCAGGCTGCATTTCTTTGTCTGCCGGTTTAGCTGAGCCAGGTGACACTAATCTGGCCAGCTCTGACCTCTCTCTTGCCAGCTCTGGGTCATAGTGGAGGGCTTCCTGCACCAACGCTCAGGCATACCAGAGAGGGATACAGACAGTAGCATGGACAGAGGAAGATCATATTAATGACAGCACAAATACTGAGTGTGAGCATGCAGCTGTATCGCAGAAAAGCATAACAGGCCCATAACAGACCTGATGCTGTTATTTATACTGGAATATATTGTTTGTTTGGACCTAGAAAGTAATTTCTAATATACTTTGTTACAAACGCCATTTAACACCAAAAACCATTAGAGTAATAATTGCATATGCATTATTATTGTTGTCTTTATTGTTGACAAAGGTGTAACTTTATGCATCCAGGTAATGTACTGCATAGTGTTTGTCACCACAGACCAAAAAGTCCTAGCTGGTACATTTGCTGCTGTCACCCACCTGCACCCCATAGGACAGCTGCTGCACTGGCACAGCACCAGATGCATACGCTCTGGAATAATAACCATTTACAGAGTGATTTAACAAACATTATAGCCCTGTATGCTACGCTGCTGAGTAAGATATTCAAAACAATGGCTGCGTAGATCATTTATCTATCATGATGGGTATAAAAGTGACAGAAAGCTTGGCTAGGCAAAGCACCAGAACAGTCAGGACTAGGACTGAACACCAGAATGGGCAGAGTAAGAGAGCATTTTATGTTGTAATTTAATGTAACTTTTTGGAAGTATGTTATTTAATAAAACAAAAAATGGTTTTGAAATATACCGTTTTGTTTTCAGATCATTTTCTACGAGGACAGGAACTTCCAGGGTCGCTCCTATGAGACCAGCAGCGACTGTGCTGAGCTGACCTCCTACCTGAGCCGCTGCAGCTCCTGCAGGGTGGAGAGCGGCTGCTTCATGGTCTACGAACGTTCAAACTACATGGGCCACCAGATGCTTGTGAAAAGGGGAGAGTACCCCGACAACCAGCGCCTGATGGGAATGAGCATGAGTGACTGCATACGGTCCTGCCGCATGATCCCGATGGTATGAAGCGTTGACTCCTGATAAGCTCTTGTGTACTGTGCACTGCCAGTCCAAATGTTTTGACACCCCAATTTTTCCACTTTTTATTTTGACATGTGAACAGTTCAAGTACAGTGAATAACCTTAAATGGTACAAAGCTACGAAGTAAAATGCCAGAGGTAAAGGAAACAAAACAGTTACCCAAAGAAAATGCTTAAAATGTCTGTAAATGGCCTTTGACAGGTACGAATCCAGTAACAGGCTAATTCATATCTTTTTTGCAGCAATAGAAGTAAATGACGTCTAGAAACCTGATGCAAACAGTTCCTACAGGTGTCCCAACTTTTGTTGATGATTTACAAGAACAAATCTTGTTGGAAAAGAGAACAAGATAGTCAGCTTTAGGATGGAGCAGCAGTACAGTGTCCAGACTTTCTAGGTGAAGAGTGAAAGCAAAGCAACTTACAAGCACAACACATCTGTGGGAACATCTGTAACAACGCTGTGTGTTTGATTTTAGTTTAGAGAGAATGACGCAGGTGTGTTCAGCTGTTTGATATCACTGATAACAACTGGAAAAATGGAGGTGACCCCAAACGTTTGACTGGTAGCGTATGTACGCGTGAAATGGAAACCTCTATACAAACTCTCAAACACACACAGCACAAAAGAAAATGTTTTAGATTTGATCATCATTTGTCACTTTACAGCACAGAGGTCCGTTCAGGATGAGGATCTACGAGAGGGAGAACTTCGGAGGTCAGATGTATGAGCTGATGGACGACTGTGACTCCATCATGGACCGCTACCGTATGTCCAACTGCATGTCCTGCCACGTGATGGACGGCCACTGGCTGATGTACGAGCAGCCGCACTACAGAGGCAGGATGATGTACCTGAGGCCCGGAGAGTACAGGAGCATGAGAGACATGGGAATGGGTCCCATGGACATGAGGATTGGGTCCATTAGACGTATCATGGAGCCTTGTTAGACAAAACAAGCTCAAGACCTAAACGTGTAATCAATAAATATTAATAAACTGTTCATATCTACAAGGAGTTCATTAATCTATAATTTGTGTTCAGGTTCAAAATTCCAGTCAGTGATCCAATATGACAGTTTGGGTGCTATTCAAAGGACCATTTGGTCTGTACAGAATGATGCTAGTTTAATTACTATGTCCCATAGCTAACCTGAAATTTCTTCTTCTTCTGCCTATGAAATGTCTTGTGTCAAATGATGCACTTGAAATTAAAATTGAATTTCACAGGATGAAAACGATGTATGAAATGGTGCATGATTTTCCATAAGTTCCCCAAACGTGCTGCAAATAAATAAATACATTTACAATACAAGGAGAGGTGGGAAGTAACAAAGCACAAATAAGTGCAGCAAGAAAGTCTCATGTTCATGTCCCGGCCAACCTGGGGCCATTCTATGTGCTGTCTACATGTTCTCCCTGTGCCTGCGTGGGTTTTCTCTGGGTGCCCTGGCTTCCTCCCACAATCCAAAGACATGCAGCTTAGGTTGAATGGTGACTCTAAATTGCCCCTAGGAGTGAGTGTGTGTGGTTGTCTGTCTCTAAATGTCAGCCCTGTGACAGACTGGTGACCTGTCAACAGTGGACCCCGCCTTTCACCCAATGTCAGCTGAGAATGGCTCCAGCACCCCATGATCCCCTTCAGGAATACCGGTATAGGTGACGGATGGATGGATGAATGTTTTCATTCTCCCACAAACACAGTACAGAGGTCCATTCAGGATGAAGATCTATGAGAGGGATAGCTTTGAAGGTCAGATATATGAGATGACAGACGACTGCAGCTCCATCATAGACCACTACCGTATGTCCGACTGCATGTCCTGCCAAGTGATGGACAGCCACTGGCTGATGTACGAGCAGCCCCACTACAGAGGCAGGATGATGTACCTGAGCCCCGGAGAGTACAGGAACTTTATGAACATGTGAATGGGAGGTACGAGGTGGATGAGCATGAGGCGCATCATGGACATGTGCAAACTGTACTTTTTGCCTTCAATAAATGATGTATATTTATTTTTTTCTAAATTCTGGTGCCATGGTATTTAATTAGCATAATCTTTCAAAAAAGCAAAATCTCACTATTTAAAATGTTTACAATAAGTGTTATGTTGTAAAACTGACAAGCATAATGTCCACCATAGCTATGGTTAGTTCATTTTCATTTCTTTGCCATGCCAGAAATTTAGCCTATTCCATGTGGGACTACAAGACAAATTTAAAAAATACAGCAAGACATGTTCTGATAACATGTCAGGGGCGGCGTGTAAAGCTGCCAATAATGTCAGGGGTGAACTCAATTATAAGGCCAGACGAGTAAAAGCAGAACACTGGATGTTGTATTTGCTGACGAATGGTGGGCGTGGGCCATGATGCCACTGCTTGGATCTTAACAGGGTCCATCTCACTGTGACCTGTGGAGATAACAACCCCAGGAACAACATTGTAGAGGCATGAAAGCAACACTTTTCAGCTTTAACATAAAGGTTGTTCTGGAGTAACCTCTGCAACACAGCTCTAACATGAGTGATGTGTTTAGTCTCAGAGGAGGAGAATATGAGAATATCATCCAAGAAAATAAAGACAAACTTATTCAGCATATCTCCTAGTATGTCATTGACTAAATTCTGAAACGCTGGAGCATTAGTTAGCCCGAACGGCATGACCAGGTACTCGTAGTGACCGGCAGGGGTACTGGTCTTCCACTCATCTCCATTTTTAATGCGTACCAGGTGATAAGCATTTCTCATGTCCAGCTTGGTGAAAATCTGTGCACCATGGAGTAGTTCAAAAGCGGATGACATGAGAGGTAAGTGGTATCTGTTTTTCGCAGTAATTTTATTTAACCCACGATAATCTATGCAGGGTCTTAGTCCTCCATCTTTTTTTCCCACAAAGAAAAAACCCTGCCCCTGCTGGGGAGGTGGAGGGACAAATCAACCCTACCCTCTGAGCCTCGGTAATGTACTCAGTAATAGCCTTTTGTTTAGGAACTGACAATGTGAACAGATGGCCCCTAGGGGGCGTCGTACCAGGTAGCAAGTCAATAGAGCAATCATGAGGTCTATGTGGAGGCAAAGAGGTGGCATGAGTCTTACTGAATACTTGTCGTAAATCATGATAGTCTGGAGGTACTTTGTCATGGTTTGGGATGACTTTCGATACCTCTGCCCTCTCCTTCTGCTGTTTGACTGCAGACTGTAGGCAAGTTTCTGCACACTGAGCTGACCACTCACCCTGTCCCCCATTCTATCTTGACCCTGTGTTTGACCAACCATGGATACCCTAACACCACCAGATCATGTGCCTAATACATGATTAGAAATTGTATTTTCTCTACATGGTTGTTGATGGCCGGAGAGAGTGGTAAGGACTGAGAGGTAACACAATGCAAAAACTTGTCGTTCAGTGAATGAACTAGGAGAGCAGGATTTACAGCACAGAGAGGAATATGATGTTTCTTAATAAATACTGATCCATAAAACTAGCGTCAGGCACAAAATCAATAAAGACGGGTAGTTTAATATTACATGCATCAATTGACAGAATAGCCTTTACAATGAGAGGACGTTATACCAGTCACAGTCCGGCTCAGCAGCAAAGCGTCTTTGTGACCCAAATGGTGTACCTCCGTTTGCATCTTGCCCAGGGCTACTCCTTGGAGAGCCAAGGCTTGTTCTATACTGGCACAGCAGTCCCTGTTTTCCTCGCTGGCTGAGTTCATTTTTGGCCAGATTATAATGTCAGAGGTGGTATGTAAAGCTGCCAATAATGTCAAAGGTGAACTCAATTATAAGGCCAGACAAGTAAAAGCAGAACACTGTCTCTTTAATAAGAGCACTGGTCACAATCAATCTGTACGCAATGCAGGAGTCTGATTCAGTAGAGTGTCTTTGAAACCAGAGGTCATTCCAACCAGGAAGTGCGACTTAAGCACAGTCTCAGTAGTTTCAACACGCAACACTCTCAGGTCAATAATTCCAGTCCAGGGTCAGAACCAGCAAACTCACACATCCAAGGTATCCACGAGAAAAACGGTCAGTAAGGGAAGTCCATAAGTCAATGCACAGAATACAAATAGAATCAGAAGGGTTAGGCAGGAATCAGTGGTCACAAGTCAATCCGGGGTCAGAGCTGGAATAAACAGGTACAAGAAAAACGCTGGAAAGCTGAACTGAAGTTAGAACAATCTAGCAACTTCCTGGTGGAAGGAAGCTGCCTATAAAGGGGTGTCAACAGGTGCAAATAATTACCACTGATTAGTGTAAACAGTCCATAGCTGAAATGAGACCTTAAACAGGAAGTGGTGTCAGAATAAAAGCATGTTACCGGAAGCAGAAGAGGCAGAATCATGACATAACACATCTATTAAGCCAAACAATATCAATCATTAAATAATATACTGTAAATCATGTAAAATAAAATTATGTACAAAATGTCAAATAAATGTTGTATCATATAACAAAATAAAGAAGTAAGGAATAACTTCTTAGCCACAGAATCAGCATGTGAAGTGAAGCCCTACACAGCCGCTACCATCTGAGGCTTCATTTTGTTGAACCCTCTGTTTCTGCAAAAGCTTAAGTACTGTTTATCTCAATGGACCAAAATTTAAGCTTTGTGAATGTCTGGATGTAAAAACTATGTAAACTTAAACTAAAATTAAATAGAAGTGAGTCAATAAAAGCTAAATGGAAACTAATGAAAGCGCTGGTCAAAATGGAAATTCAGACTGAACTACAGGTCTTGGTGGGTGTTGTTGGTCTCCAGTGGTTAGTACCTACCAACAGTGTCTAAGGAAGGACAAATGGTGAACTGGAGACAGGGTCATGGACGCCCACGGCTCACTGATGATAAGGTTGATCTACTGTAGATTAAAACTTTTTATCCTTTTCAAAAGATTCCATTGGTCTCTATGAAGAGAACCATTCAGCAACTATAGTGGTGATATCACACCTAGAGCGGTGAGGCTGTTGAATTTGTCTAAAACATTATCTCCAACTTGTCCTCACGTCCACAGTCTTCACTCCTTTTACATAACTTTTTCGATGAATGGTTGACACATCTGTGATCTTCCTAACAGTGGCTATGTCTGAAATCACTCCCTGCTGACTCACTCACTACTCCATATATAATGTACACCACTACAACATGGCGAACACAGTGAGTAGGGAGTGATTTCAGACACAGCCAGTGTAACTATGGAAGCAAACAGATTCACACAAGATGCACCATGAGCCTCAGAGTGACAGGAGTGACACCCAACTGCCACACTGACTACTGTGTTACAATGGAAATCTATTATACCCTGGTTCTGAGAAGGAATATCAGCTTTCAACTGTTCAACTAAACATCATGACATGTAACATATGAATTAGGGCCATACATTTGTTTGATATGCACATACAGTATATGTTCTTAATTTAGACTCTGATGTACTCAAACTGTTAAGGTTTAGTCCCCCTCACCAGGAGGGTGAGGGAGAACTGAGGTTGGACTCAAAATTTCTGACCCAGGTGCTAGTAAAAAAAGGTGGTTTAATGGTGGGGATTGCAAAAATGAACAGAGTCCCTGCAGACATACAACCAGGGCTGGGAGAAGATGGCTGAAGAGACCAGGATGACCAGGGGAGTAGACAGGATGAGGATGGACAGGTGAAAAAAACAAACTAACCAGTAGGGATGGCGAACGAAAAAAAAATCCACAGCACAGGAACTGTCAGCATGGAAAAAAAATGACGTACAATACATACCACGAAATATATGGCTGTTACGGAGTATGCAAGTTATGTTAGTTAGGTAATGCGCCAGCGAAGACGGATGGTCTGTCAGAGGTATAAATAAGGAGGACAGGTAATCATTGGGATGCACCCCAGCTGTGCGCACCAACAAACGAGTCGCTAATTACTGAAAGCAACACAGCTGAGGTGCAGATCCGCAGGATCGAGAGAGCAGAGGAGAGAAAGGCAGAAGAGAGACAGGTCGCGCCGAGCAGACCTGACACAAACAGTTTTTCTGCAAACATCAACAAAAGTTTTTTTTATTAAAGTTAATATTATGACACAAATTATTAATGTAGATACCTAGTATGTACAGAGTCCATTGCCATCATCTATATATAAAGATGGCCTTGAAATAGTAATTATACATTTCTAGCTAACCTCAGAATAGAGGCAACACTTTAAGTCCCCATTTAGTTTTTATAAAAGGTATATAAACATTTAACATATTATTTATAACTGGCTATAAACACAACTGCTGACAATGAATGACAACTACAATAAAACACTGAATTTATAATTGCTGGCAAATACTTTATAGTGTAGATAAATATATTAATATAGAGTGTAATAAACCATTTGTTGCTTGTATACTCCTTATAAATGCTAAGGGGTGTAAAGTGTTACCATAACGAGGTATTCAGCTATGATGAGATAAGGGCTTTGTTAATTATTGTTTTTTTGTTTGTTTGTTTTCAGTGTGAGTAGCACATTATTGAAAGATCTTGTGAAGTCCCAAAAATGTCAAATCAGCTCCACATTTCTGACAAAACAGCTGGCTGTAAATTGGGTTTGCCTATTTTTATTTTTACCATGTTGTACACGATGAATGACAAATGATGCAGTACATGATGCCATGCACAGCTAGATAAACAAGTTTTGTTTGTGCAGTTGTGCATTATATACTGGCATGTCATACTACTGTGGTCACACAAAAGGATACTCCTGTCTATAAATTGCCCACTTACCAGTCAGGGTCTTGCAGTATGTATTTAAAACTGCTAAAGAGACTATTGTCTGTTACTCTTAAAAAGTGCTCATTGTTGAGATCTCAAAGGAAAAATCCATTCAAAAATCTTCTAGGGGATACAGTCACATGGAAATGTGACAAATGCCCCTCAACACTCTATAGGCCTCTATACCATGTTGCTGGCTCAGGGGTTTACACAATGGGAACTACGGATTCACTGGGTCTGGTCGAGTATAAAAGTAACAGTTAAAACAGGATTGCCATCAGTGTAGCAGCAACACAGTTCTCAGAAGAACTAACTGAACTACTATCACCATGGGCAGAGTAAGCACACTCACACCATCACTCAATCTGACTGACAATCAATATATGGATAACATTGTGAGCTGACATCCCTATTCCTTATATTGTGTCCTTTTTCAGATCATCTTCTACGAGGACAGGAACTTCATGGGTCGCTCCTATGAGTGCATGAGCGACTGTGCCAATATGATCTCCTACCTGAACAGGTGTCATTCCTGCAGGGTGGAGAGCGGCTGCTTCATGGTCTACGACCAGTCCAACTACATGGGAAACCAATATTTCATGAGGAGGGGCGAGTATGCTGACTACATGAGCATGTGGGGATGGAGTGGGTGCATCAGGTCCTGCCGTATCATCCCCATGGTATGCAAGGGGTGCCTCTCTACCTCCTGAGCCACAGCAGCCCCCTAGACACAAAACAAAGAAATTTGTCTGACTCCACATTGAGGTAAACCCTCAGTTTTGTTTTTTTCATTTACAGCACAGAGGCTCCTACAAGATGAGGATCTATGAGAGGGAGAACTTCGGAGGTCAGATGTATGAGCTGATGGACGACTGCGACAACATGATGGACCGCTACCATATGTCCGACTGCATGTCCTGCCAAGTGATGGACGGCCACTGGCTGATGTATGAGCAGCCGCACTACAGAGGCAGGATGATGTACCTGAGGCCCGGAGAGTACAGGAACTTCACGAACATGGGCATGAGTGGGATGAGGTGGATGAGCATGAGGCGCATCATGGACATGTAAAATGATGTGCAATATGTCTAAATTAGTCAAACTAATAAAATCTGTTTGACAAAATATTTCTACCTGTTTCATCATATCCTATCAGTTTAGTAGATGACTGAGCAGCCATTGCCATTGTTTAATATGACTGGAGGTGTCCGGTGACTCTTAATGCACAGCACCTACACAATGCAGAAAAGACCATCAGTCCACACAACATACAGTATCAAATTGAATGTTAATGAAGGTGGGATTGCTGTGTTAGCCCAAGACAACCTGGCTGCAGACAAGATAATAGTGGGAGGCTGTTAACCTTGGCAGGTTGACAGTAAGGTTTAGGGCTACAAGTCAGGGTCAGGGGTTTAGATTAATGGCAACTCTAACACTAGCCAAACTTTCAGAAAAAGTTGACAACGTCCAGTCACGGCTGACGGTGTGCAAATCGTGGCCGCAAACTGCCATCTTGTCTGCAGCCATCTCTCTCTGCAAGGTGGGATGTCCTCTTTATTAACAAATATTAGCTCATCTTTGCCCACACTTGCTAACAGCGTTGCAAAACAAACCAACAAACCAAACATCTAATGAACAGCACTATGGTAAAACATAATAAAAGTAATAAAAAAATGTCTTTTTATGAGAACTGAATGTTTCCAATGAATCCACATTAACATAAATAATCATATATTGGATTGTAAATGCATTGTGGTGTGTTATAAACACTTTATTTATTGATTAGACATTCAAAAAGGGCTGTTAAATTGATAATTGGTGAAATGAAACTTCTGAGAACTCAAAACACTTTTACATTAACTATATATCAGATTAGCACTTCTACAATCAGTTGCTCAAAAGAGCTCAATAACATAGCATTGAGTTTTCCACTAACCTAAAGATAAAGGTGGCTAACTTAAACATATTGTGTGATAATCTATTGTAAATTCAGACACTGAAGTTATAACAAACATTGCAATGGCATTGAACCACTAGCCTCAGCTAAAATCACGATGATGCAATCATCTACCATAACTGACTAATATCAGTGACAAGAATGTGTAGATGCACAACTTGCACTCAAACTGTCCGGGGGCATCAAGAGATTTCTAATGTTTGAACTCTGGCACAGTGACAGTTAGTGTATGTCTTCAAAACCAGCAGCAGGTAGAATATTAAAAAAGCCATTAACAAACTAGCTAGTCTTCTGCAGGTTCCAAACTAGGTCACGTTCTAAACTGGCACTAATCATCAATGAGAGCGGCATTATTTAAATGTATCTAGCCCATATCTATTAATTATGTGAGACTTATCTGTCAAAGTATGGCCATCTGGCTTCAAGAGCCACAGAGCTTTACTTCTACAATATTTTCATTCAAAACACCCTCTTGTGTTTTATAGCAGTGCTAACGCCACTTATCATTAGCCACATTACCTTGTCTGCTTTTTTTATCTGAGGCATGGTTTTCCTTTTTAGGCGACCTTACGTTAAGGCAGTGTCCAAGTTTTTAATGCAAGGCATGATTTTCAAACTTCAGGTGATTTTTTTTCTTATCAATGTCTGCATTTATTTTGCTAATGAACAGAAATATTTCTGCTATTGCCCCTTAGGGCCACCATACAACCAGCAAGAGCATTATGTTAAAGATATCATTTGACATTTTGGGAAATACATATTTGCTTTCTGACTTCTGAGAACAAATATGCAAATTTTCCAAAATATCAAATATTCTTTCAGTATCTTGTTGGCTTAATTAATGTAGCCCACGTATAACAGTGACCGATTTGTCATTGTGAGGTTCAGTATGTTTATCTAAATCAGGGGTGCCCAATACGTCGATCGCGATCGACCGGTAGATCGTGAAGCTAGTGTCTGTACATCGCGTGCCATTCAAAAATAAATTAGATGCATCCGGCGTAAAACACGTGCCAAATGTTAACATGCAAATGGTCAGTGTGACGATTCGCTGTGGCGACCTCTAACAGGAAAAGCAGAAAGTGACAATCATTCATATATAGCCTATCATCCATCCTCCCTATGGCATTTGCTACTTGATTGACATGCAGGGCAGCCAGTCTGAGATCTCGTCTTTTCTGACACACGAGTCACCAAACATGCACAGTCAACAGCACGAGCTACTGCAAAACTCCAGTGTTCCATTTCTAGCCCTGGATTTACTGTTACCTTAAAATCCCCACATATTCTTACAGAGTCATCCTTTTTTATGACCGGTACAATTGGTGTGGCCCAGTCACTCCGACTTACAGGTTCAATTACTCCATTCTTGATTAAGGCCTCCAACTCTGCTTTGACCTTTGGACGTATGGCGTATGGAACCGGTCTGGCCTTTAAGAACCTTGGTCAGCTGTCTGGTTTAACTCTCAGATTGACCGTTATGTCCTTCATGTTCCCCAGTTCTTCTTTAAACACCACAGCATGCTTGTTCAACACAGTGGCTAGGTCTAGATCTTGCTTCTGCAGCATGTGAATTTCAAGCCAATTCAATTTAATTTTCTCTAGCCACGATCTGCCAAGCAGAGACGGAAAATTTCCTTTTAC